CTGAGCCGAAGGCAGTCGCTTAACCAACTGAGCCACCCAGGCGCCCTACACCATTAGTTTTTGATGTAGTGTTCCATGATTCATTGTTTGCATAAGTATTTATCTTTTTCTGTCTGACATAACTCACTTAACATAGTGTCCTCAGGGTCCATCCATGTTGTTGCAAATGGTAAGATTTCATTCTTTTATATGGCTGAATAATGTCTCATCACACACACACACACCATATCTTTATCCGTTCATCCATCTATGAACATTTAGGTTCTTTCTATGCCTTAGCTATTATAAATAATGCTGCAGAAAACATGGCAGTACAGATATCTTTTCGTATTAGTGTTTTTGTTATCTTCGGGTAAATATCTAGAAGTGGGATTGCTGGATCCCTAGGGGAGTTCTTTTTTTAATTTTTTTAGCAACAGCCATACTGTTTTCCAGAGTGGCTGCACCAGTTTGCATTCCCACCAACAGTGCACGAGGGTTCCCTTTTCTCCACATTCTTGCCAACACTTCTTATTTCTTGCCCATCCTGCTCTTATAACAATGGTGAAGTATTTAATAAATACAGAGAAGGGTATCCTAAAATTTTATTATTTTTTCCCAAAATTTAGGATCTTATATTGGGAAAGCAAAATCAGAAGAGCTATCAGAGAAGATTTTGGCCACTAGATTAAGATAGGATCAAAGGAGCCTGAGAAATAGCACTTGGTTACCTATTGAATCGAAGTGACAATAAAATAAAATATTTTGAGATAAACACAGAAGAAGGTAACATGATTACAAGGATATTTAGCTCTTTCATAAGAGAGGTGCCTTAGATTTTTTTTTTTTAAGATTTTATTTATTTATTTGAGAGAGAGAGAGAATGAGAGACCCAGAGAGCATGAGAGGGAGGAGGGTCAGAGGGAGAAGCAGACTCCCTGCCAAGCAGGGAGCCCGATGCGGGACTCGATCCTGGGACTCCAGGATCATGACCTGAGCCGAAGGCAGTCGCTTAACCAACTGAGCCACCCAGGCGCCCGAGAGGTGCCTTAGATTTTTAATTTCTTTTTTTACTTGAAAACATGATCAAGCCAAAATAAAGTAGAGAAATTTATTCTGTTGACAATATGGAATCATTTTTCTGGGCAGTTTACACAGAAGATAAATAGTAGCTTCTTTTTAACTCTTGCTAAGAGCTCTATGACCAATTTACCATTTTAATAGAGATACAGCTGAATTCTAGTTTTGCATTAATATAACATGTGGCAGTAAAAGTTTCACAACTTTAAAAAATTATTTATTTTTAAGCCCATCAAAACTGAGCCAGATTTGGCACTTGGCAAAATGTTAACCTATTTCATAGCTTATTTTCAGACTTAGGTCTTATAAATCAAGGCAACTAAAATTCCCTTTCAGCAAACCCTCTACAACTGTCTGTATCCAATTCAGGTTTGCATTTTCATCCCTTTTCATGTTCTGGAACAATCAGACACTTAAGACAAAACCACTTCCTTATTCTTTGGAAAGTCAGAATGTGTCCCATTTTCCTTGCAGACACAGCTGTATCTCTCTGTCCCTGTTGGTCCTAGTATAGTTTCAAACATCCATAGTGATTGTAACTTTTAACCAAAGTAACTAACCTCTATTTCACAGAAAGAGCTGGGCTACAAATAAGTGAGCACTGTCTGTGTTATTCAATCATTTTAGTAGACTTAGCAAAGCTCACAAACAGGCATAACACAACATTTTACAGCTACACATATCCCTTGCAAAAGTTTTAAAAAATTGTCATACAAGGGCCACCTGGGTGGCTTAGTCAGTTAAGCATCTGCCTTCAACTCAGGCCATGATCCCAGGGTTCTGGGATCGAGGCCCACATCGAGCCCCACATCGGGCGCCCTGCTCGGCGGGAGGCCTGCTTCTCCTTCTCCCTCTGCCCCTCCCCCCGACTCGTGCTCTGCCCCCCAAATAAATAAATAAATAGTCTTTTAAAAATTGTCATAAAATATACATAACATGAAATTTGCCATTTTAAGCATTTTTATGTGTAGAGCTCAGTGGCTTTAGGTACATTTCACAATGTTGTGCAACGATCACCACCGCCTATTTCCAGATCTTCTTCATCTTCCCCAACTGAAACTCTGTCCCAGTTAAACACTAATTCCCATTCTCCTTTCTCCCCACCCCCCAGAAACCCCCATTCTCCTTTCTGTCTCTATGAATTTGATCACTCTACATACCTCGTATAAGTGGGAAAATATATTTGTCTTTTTGTGACCGGCTTCTTTTACTTAGTATAATGTCCTTAACATTCATTCATACTGGGCGCCTGGGTGGCTCAGTTGGTTAAGTGACTGCCTTCGGCTCAGGTCATGATCCTGGAGTCCTGGGATCGAGTCCCACATCGGGCTCCCTGCTCGG